ATTGCTAAATTACAAGAAATTTGGCTATAAAAATTTCTTCAAATAGATGCTTATTTTTAGTAATATATAGTAAAATGCTTATTTTAGCATTTCTAATTTGGATAATTTTCAGATCAGGTTTGGATTAATATTCAATCAAACCTGACTTAAAATTTTCAGAACAGATTTTTCTAACCCAAACCTGACCCGACCTGAAATTTTAGATCAAATATCAGGTTGACATAATACAATTCAAAGCAATATCTGAAATGCATAGATTTTTTTAGATCTTGTGTAAAGTTTTAATATAATCATGCAGAATTTTAAATAAGATTATTTGGTTAATATTAGGATATCATCTGGTTTGCATTAAATATTATTCAGCCTGCATTAATGGTAATGAGCCAATTTCTTAATGCATATAATTTTTTTTATTTGTTTATTATTCTATATATCGTATATATGTGCATTCTTAATTTAAATTTTTTTTAACATTGGTAGTTCTTACTATTTCTTGATATAATAAATATATAACTATTATTAAGTTATTTTTTAAATAATGTTATTATAACATGAGGTTAATAAAGCAATTTGGCATTATTTTGAAAACTCAAACAAGACCAAAATTATAAACAAGGGTGTATAATTATTTAAAATATATTATTTTAGCAAGAATTATATTTTTAGTGATAATATTTTATATATATATTTATAATTAATAAAAAATTATTATATTTCACAAATTCCATGTAGGTATGCAAGATTTTTAAAAAACTGCTATCACTATTTCTTATAAAGATTAGTTATAGGTGATTTTGAACTAAATGAATATTTGTTTTACATTTTCTGATCATGTAACAGTACACTAAATAGAGTTTTATCATTGGCAATATCATCAATCACTACATAATAGCAAAAAATGCATAGTAATTTTTCTGATAATTCTAAGATGCAAAACATACATTTTTAATACACTCACACCTACTTTTTTAGATACATATAAACATACTTTAAAACTAACCAATAAGGTTGCACATTGTTATAATAAAAGTTAGTAAAAGTATAAAAAGTTTAGAGTATGTTTAAATTAGTGTTGTCAATTTCTGTTCTATTAATAAAAATTATATTCTATTCTAAATTCTATTGCTCTATTCTATTGTTCTATTGTTTTATTTATTTATTGCTATATTAATATATAATTATAATCTTGTTAGTAATTTTTTGTTTTAGTGCTGAAATTTTTTTTCTATTCTAAATTCTATTGCTCTATTCTATTGTTCTATTGTTCTATTCATCTATTGCTATCAACATTAGTTTAAATGTATTTAAAAAGTAGTTGCTGAAATATCAAAAATGATTGTTTTATTCTTTTCTTTAACATAGCCATCACAAGATTGCTATATAATCAATTTTGTTTAATCAATAATAGAAAGTTTATCCAATCAGATGGTAGTAGCAATATTGCATATATGCAAATTAGCTTTAGAAGTTATGTGAAGTAAATGTTTATTAGGAATTAAAATTTAATAATAGTCAGTTTTATAAAGAGTAGTTTTGTTGAAAAGTACAATACATTATTACTTTACTTATTATACTACAAGCAAAATGACATATCTTCTCTTTATTAGTTTAAGAATTATATTTATACATTGTTAGAGATAAAATTGTAATACTGCCAATTTAAGAAAATGATCATTGTAGTAGTTTTATTACCAAATTAGTAGTATACATAATGATTGATCTGAAATATATACATCATAACTAGTATTATAGCCTAAACTCTTTACTAAAGTCTGAAATATTTTAGATTTTGAGTTTTGGTTTTGCCCAAAATCTGAAAGATCTAAATGTCTGAAATGTTTAAAACTAGATGAAATGTGAAACTAGGTGAAACTAGGCAAAACTAGATGAAACTAGGCAAAACTTGATTTTATCCTTATCAAAATCAATATAACATATAACACAGACTTCAATATAATGATTTCTAAAAGTCATATGACCATTGCACTTAAAATCACTAATAGAATTTCTAAAATTCTATCAGTTAATTTTAAGTGCAGTAAGCTTTTAGAAATTGTCATATCAAAGTCTATGTATTATGTTAATTTTGATAAAGATAAGATCAAGTTTTGATTAGTTTCATCTAGTTTCGACTAGTTTTACCTATTTTGTCTAGTTTTTTTCATTCAATTTTGCTCAGTTTTGGATGTTTTATTTAGTTTGGACATTACACTCAGCTTTAGACATTTCAATCAGTTTCAGAAGTTTTGTCTAGTTTTAAATATTTCAAACTTAGCATATTGAGTAAAACTATGTTTTAGAAGTTTTATCTAGCTAAAAGTTTCAGTTTAAGCTGTAATACTAGTTATAACTAAAGATAACTCTAAAAGTATTTTGAAGTGCTGAATATTATGCTAAAAGTTATACAAAAAGTCAAAAGTTTTACTAAAGGTCAAAATTCTTACCAAAAGTTGAAATTTTTACTAAAAGTCAAAACTCTTACTAAAAGTCACAAGTATTAACAAAAGTCAAATGTCTTACTGGAAATTGAAAATCTTACTGAAAATAAAGGCCTATCATATCTTAACAGAGATACTTTTTTAATTTAAAAAAGGTACATAATTGCTACACTTTTTTGAAATTTCATTAGTCAATTTTAAGTGTAGTAGTCATATGACTTTTTAAAATCAAGTGTATCTGTCAAGATGTAATTAACCTTTGTCAAAGTTTATGTCTTGTTATATGTTTTAAAATCAAAACTCTTTAACAAAATAGAAATTCTACAGACAGAGCTTAGAAACAGAACTGAATAAAACAAACTTATATGATATTATTAAAATTTCTATTATGCAAAAGTTTTAAAATTGATAGGTCTGTGGTTCTAGTTTTGATAAATTAACAATATACTTTAAATTAGTTATGTTCTTGATGCATTTTAGTAATATAATGGTCAATGTAACCAATATTTAATATCTAGTATGACAAATAATTTTTAGAATATTATTTATTAATAAAGGTAATACATAATACACTTTTTTTTTACTATGCAAGAAATGTTACATCACACTGGTTATCTTGCATAGTATATTAAAGTTTATTTGCTGATCGATTGATTTGTGTATAAATACAAACAAACAAAAAAAATAATTTTTTTTTTTAAATTGTAAGTTATATAATTACTTATATGATTACTTTTAACAAAGTATAATCTATTTATATTGAATGTTAACTGATTATTTTTGACAAAGTGTAATTCATTTAATCCATTTATATAGTTGAAGGTAACCAAAAAAAAAATTGTAATTTGTACTATCATACATTAAACAAAAAAAATAAATTAAATAACAAATCTGAAAAACTAGATAATTGTTAATAAAAATAATATAGTTTTCATTTCTTTTAGACATGTAGCTGAATTATATATATTACACTACACTTTTTTAAAAAACACTTGTTTAAAGGTATAAAGTTATCTAGAAACACTACAACTAATCAAGCAAGAATTAATTTTACTATGTCAAGTTGAGAAAACAATTAATTTTATTAAATGAAAAGCTGCTAGAACAAAAAAATCAACTAGCTGCATTGAAAATGTTATAAAGCTTATAATCAAAGGGCATGAATATATAAATAAAATTCAAACTGAAATTAAAAAAAACAAATTATGTTGGTTCTAGATAATGTTTTGTTCTGGCAATAGAAATAATTGTCAATATAAATGCAGCAAAATTAGAAAATGTTTATCTAGTTGTACAAACTATGGTTTATATAACAATTTGAAAAATAAAAATGATATACACCAATGTTTTGTTCATGTTTATTTATTTTTCTAATTATCTTACCTTACTTCAAGTCATTAACTTAGAATTAAAATAGAAGATATATATCTTCTATCTAATATAATAAACACTATTGTTTCAAAAATTTCAAGAATAAATTTACATATTAAGTTCGAGATAATATTATAATTAGCTATCATGCAGATTACTAAACAACAAAAGAAATCAAGAGAAAATTATTGGCTTCATTCAATAGTGCTAATGAAGAAGAACTAAACAATGCATTGTTAAATAGTTGTAAAATTTGCAGTAATACAGAATTAAAATGCTTTATTACTCATAAAGATAGATGTTTAAAGGATAATGCAGACCATGAACAATACTTTACTATTTAATTGAAAAGAATTTAAAGTTAAAAAGATACATTCTATATTATCAATAATTGGATTGTAAAAACCTGAAAATTCTCCAAAGCACTACTACCAATTAGCTGTATCAAATAAGTTCTAGTTACAAAATAGTCAAAAATTTGAACAGCAGTATTTTGGAATCAATAATAAATATGACTATAATATGGATTATGCTCTTATGTTAACTATGGTCATCAAAAATAACAGTAAGCATAAAACTCTGTTAGCTTTTGGTATGTCTCTATATATGTATTTTTATTTTATAAGCATTAACTATTGATTACTGATGTTGATTTTAAATATAATTAGGTTTAAGTAACAAGAAAAATAACTGGATGATATGTTTGGTTATAATAGCCATTAAAAAAAATCTACCTTGTGCTGATCTTACATGTGAACATTCATAGATTATAAAGATATTTTAAATAAAAAAGAATTTCAGAAAATTTATAATTATACAAATAATTTGCTATGAAATCCAATTGCAATGATAGATAAACATTAGCATCTAAACTAGAATTAGAAGGCATTATTTATGAAACCATATTTTGTTGGTTTCACATTATACAACTATTTGAAAAAAACTTAATATTTCATATTTACTTAGGTTAGTTTTATAAGCTTTATTGTAATGCATTTTACATATATATTTAAATTTAATATAAATCTTTATTTAAGGTATCAAATTACCTTGGGGTTTAAATTTGTGGGCCATTGCTATTTAGAAAATAATGCATTTGAAATGGCTTCTTATTACAAGACCTTTATTAATTCTCTTTTACTTTCTCAAGATTAAAAATTATTATTTACTAAAGACCTGAATAATAATTAGATGTGTGATAAATGGCAAATGCAATTTATTGATGCTGGGTATCTTTTAAATAATTCTAATTTACAAAATCCAATAACAACTAACAATTATACTAAAAGGATGAACTGTACAATTAAAACACAGTTAACTGAAAAGCAAATGATTGTTACATTTATTGAACAACTTTATAGAACAAAGTTGTTATATAAAAATCTTAACCCTGAAGGAATGAATAAAAATGGGTATGAAGCTAGATTAGTCACACTTTTTAACATGCAATCAATTGAGCAGATAAATATATAAATATAGTAACTACAGTTATTAAATAGTTACTAATATAAAATTTAATTATAGTAACAAAACCTATTAAAATAACACTCTTTATGAATCAACATTTAAATTATGGAAGACTTTATTTTCTTATAGGTTTAGTTAAATCATCAGGTTATCCAAACTACTATTATATTAAAAAGCCATATGAATCAAATATAATAATTGATTCTTTTAAGATAATGAGTTTATTGAATTGAAAGATTACATTGATAATTTCCAAATGATGATAAAACAATTATTCAAAAATTATAAAATTGACCTTTGGGATAGTTTTTATAGTGTAAATATTATTACTAGGAATGTTCATTATGTTTAAATTATGTGTAAAATGGTCTATTTTATGATGTTTATAAATATTGTTATATTGCATGAATTTTTTTATAAACAATTATCCTAATATTATACAAAATACCAAAGAAAAGCTATTAAGTTATTTTAAGAATAAAGAGAGAACTATTCTAGGTGATTAAAAAAATAATTCAATTTATTATAGATCTATGAAAGTTGTATATCAAGAAATCTTTCATTTATTTAATTCTGAAGGTATATATATTTTGTCATTATAAAGAGATGCCAATTACCTAACTCTTTTCTAGAACACTAAAACCAAATTTTCTCTAATAAATAATACAACTTTTCCTAATATTTTACTAAACTAATAACTCTTAAACTTCTAATTAAACTTTTTTCTTATAACTTTCTGTTCTAAAAACAATACAAATTTATTCATATTTAATCTTTTAATACAACAAACTTTTATATTTCAATAAAATTGCCTTTATTTAGATTCTTTTTAAATTTCTTCAATTTATACTTAATTAAACTCTTTTACTTTTAAGTAAACTAAATAACTAAACTTTCTGCTTTCAACTATACTAATTTTACTAAATTCTAATTATTATATTATGTACCAACTAACATTTTTTAAAAAATATACTTTCCTAATTTTCATTAAATTTTACTAAACAAGCTAATTCTCTCTCATTAAACAAAAATATCTAGCTCATTGAGATGATCATTTCAATATAAATTTCATCTTTAATGGATCAAAATTTATTAAGTTATTAATATTTCTCTTTAAACTTTTATCTAAACTTCTTTCTGAAATTCTATTGGTTAATTTTGAAAATTTTATAGGGTGCCCCAGAAATTTCACTTTTTCCAACCTTGAAAATTTCCAAATATCTAACATTTCTTCAAATTCTTTTAAAGGAATCTAAAAAATTTACTGGCCCTCTGAAAAATTTACTACTAATTTCAAAAAACTTAATTTTTTAATCCAATTCTTATTCTTTTCACCTGCTTTTTTTGTTATCTATATTATAAAACACTTTATACATACTATAAACTACTTAAAAAACCTTTTCTATATCTCTGTTTCAAGCTATTTATAATTTTAAACATCTTCCTATTATTATTGCTTATAATTTCAAAAAAATCTACAAACTACAACCCAACAAGATCACCTTTTAGACTGGTTCAAAAGCTATTTTATCTCAAAAAACTCTTCTTTATCTATATTTATGTTATCTGAAATTAAAATATAAAATTTCTTAAAACCAATCCTCAAAGATTTCTATTCTAGTTCAATTTAATTTTATAACAATTGCAAAGCAACTGTAAAAAGTAATTTCAAATTATTAATTCAAACTATAGTAACCAAAAAATCTAAATTTATTATAGACACAATTTTAAACAAAAATCCACATATTACTAAAACAACCAAAATACATTTCAAAATTTTTCTTAGTACAACAAAAAACTGGTTTACCAAATTTACTTATATTTTCTTTCATAAAACAAATTATAAACAACTCTTTAACTCATACTATTTTATTTTTTCTTACTTAATTAAAAAATGATTTTAAATTGTTATAAACCTTGTCAGACTTTATCTATTTCTATATAACAAATACCAAACTATTGATCATCAAAAATTCTTTTATAACTTATAACTTAAACCCATCTCTTAAAAACTTTTTATATATAAACCATATTTCAAATACTTCAAAAAACAATATTTCTATTTTACAAATTCATAATATCTCTAAATTCCATATTAATATTACTATAAATATCTCTTTTCAAGAATTTAATATAAACTACCATCAAACTTTCCAAAATGCTGAACTACAGAAAAATGATATAATTAATATATTAAACTTTATGAAAACTTTTTTGAAGCACTAGACATGTATAGTGAGCATTGAAATAGAGTTGAAAAAGAAGCTATTACTTTGTGATGACAGTTTAAAAGAGCTCTGGAACTATAGAAAAAGTGGTTGGTGAAAGCCAAAAGTCTCTCATAAAGTAAACAACAATGTTGGATATATTAGTTTTATATAACTGTAAAACTTCAAGAAACTTCCAGAAGGATTAAATATTTACAAAAGCTATAGTTTGGTTTGTTACATGCTTTTTTTTTTTTTTTAAGAAAAATTTTGTAAAAAATGAACAATTCAGTTTACCTCCTCCAAAAGATTGATATGTAAAACACCAAAACAATCAGCAGTATTTACTTTCTAATCAGGATTGTATAAACAATACAGCAATACAAACATGACTCATACACGTGCCTTGAACCACTAAAACCTTATAAAATACTGTCTCTAGACTAACTAGTACTCTATACTAACTCTTTATATTTAAGTCGAAGTTTTATCCTACATAGTTTTTTTGTTAAATATTCTAGTAGATAAAAAAATAGTAATGTTATTTCTATTTAGTATAGTTTATAATTCTTAAAAGCCAGGAACTCTTTCCCGTAAATCGTTTTTTATATAGTAAACAAATATCAAATTGCAACTAGGCACACTTAAAATTTATAACTAAATAAATAAGAACAACAT